ACCACTGCCGAATAGAGGGGAATAATCACTTCCCACAATCTGCTGGAAATGCTCCTACTAATGCAGCCCAATATGTCGTTAGCCTTCTTCTTCTAATTGTGTCAGTATTACTAAAGCTATAGCTAAATTTGTATTTTTGATTGAAGCATAATGTTAAAGAAGCATGCAGTCTGACTGTGGATTGAGTTTCAGAGTAGTTACCTGTATCTTCTGTTCAGAAAATTAATGATTTGCTGCATTTCAGAAAGGGCTCGAATGGCATGAATAGTGTTTTCTTCAATAATAGAAACAAAAGTTGTATTGGGGGTTTGTGAATTGTGATTGCATAAGCGATGTGCAAGGTGAGTTTGTACAGTTACCTCGGCGAACCTTTATAAAAGGAAAGGGAATTTTAACTTTGTTTTGTGGACACTTTTATTATGAACATATCATCTGTTAACGATTCATTTTATACTAGCAGTGAATGCTAAGATATTTGTAAAAATGTTTGTAAATGTATCTTTTTCTCTGTACAGTTCTGTTTAGTTGCTAGGATAAAAAAATATAGATTTTAGTAAAGGAAACAACAATAAAGCAATTGTTCTTCTGTCCCAGTCTTTTTATATTATAGAACTAACATCCAAATAATGGGCCAGATCCTTAGCTGATATAAATAAACATAGCTTCATTAATTTTGTAATCTAGTCCAGTTCGTTAAAAAGTAGTTTAGGGAGGCCCAATAATAAATAGACAATCTCAATTTTAGGAATCATTGTTGGTTAAATTTGAGTTAAAAAACAAGGCACATAACGAATAGTAAATTCTGTGGTTTGGTTTGTTTCCAAGATTTAAAACTTTTTATTTTGAAAGTTTCAGAGTAGCAGCCGTGTTAGTCTGTATCCGCAAAAAGAACAGGAGTACTTGTGGCACCTTATGATGGCATATATCACATTGGTAGATGTGCAGGTGAACGAGCCCCTGATGGTATGGCTGATGTGATTAGGTCCTATGATGATGTCACTTGAATGGATATGTGGACAGAGTTGGCATCGGGCTTTGTTACAAGGATAGGTTCCTAGGTCAGTGTTTTTGTTCAGTGATGTGTGGTTGCTGGTGAGTATTTGCTTTAGGTTGGGGGGTTGTCTGTAAGCGAGGACAGGTCTGTCTCCCAAGATCTGTGAGAGTAAAGGATCATCTTTCAGGATAAGTTATAGATTTTTAATGATCCAGCGGAGAGATTTTTGGTGCGGGCT